ACTAATAACCATATTCTTTTCAGTTTTATTTACTTTAATCATGCGGTTTTGGGACTCGTTTTTGTTAAACGATCAATTTTGATTGGTGATAAAGAACTTATAGTTTGTTTTATGATATGTATTTTTTAGAATAATATTAGAAGAGATTTACTTTAAATTGATTGAAATCAATTTTGGAAAAGATGAAAGCGCCCGTTTAGTGTATGGATTTTTAAATCATCGGTAGAAATATTGATTTTGAAACTATTTTGATTGAAATGTTTGATTGGAAAACTATCTTTGTCGACGATCAAGACCAAGCGGAAAAAATGTGTATATCGCGCATTGCATCATCGAGTGCAGCTGAGGTTTGGACTATAAAAAGAGCGAACCATCATCAGCTAAGCAAATAAGTGAGAGTGAGAGTCGGCTCTCTGCAGCTACTTAACTCTAAATCTGACATCAAATCAAAGAAAACGTCTCTCTTTTTTTTGTTTCTCTTTCTTTTTTTCTCTCATTCTCTTTCTCGCTCGCTTTCTCTCTCGTGATTCCAAGCCACAGTACACTATGGTTCACATGTGAATCAAATGCAGCCGATGCGAAAAGACATCCGACCGCAAACAATGTAAAGGGAGCACAAATCAAAGAAGATTCGTATAAATCAAACAAAACCGAAAACAAAAATAAAATCATAAACCAATGCACATCAAAAATAATAAATGCACAAATAGATTTTCGCCTGATTTAATTTGGACAATGGCAAAACGAGAATGATGTGGAGAAAAAAACGACAACAAAAAAAACTGAACGCACAGCACAGCACAACAAAACTTCACACACATACACATACAAAAATAGAGCACGCCAAGAGTTGAATGAGTTTCGTTCGTGGTGAACGTTACGACAATGGGGTGCGATATGTGTTGCGAGCCAATGCTGCAAGCTATCATTGCACGTAAACTCTTCTACGGTGTGCATATAAACAAATTAATCCCGTCAATTTGCATTACATATTGGTAATGATGATCACTTTTGTCTCGTGAGCACACCCGTGAATTTTCCATTCACCATCCGCAAAATATCGCACGTTTAATGAGTAGAAATCACGTTTTACTGAGTGAAATCGAATAAACATGCAGCGTAATATAAACAATCGCATCGATTGCAGTCGAATGAAACATTCAAAAAGTTTGATGTGTCGCAGTCCGATCGAACGAAAAGCATATGGAAATTTCATTGTGCACAATGGGCATTATTAAAATTAGCACTGTGTTTTGTCTGGTCCATTGAACAAACATATTTAAACCATGGGTTGTTGTCTACATTTACACGATGAATTTTTAATGACAGGTTTCAATGCGATGATTACTTACGAAATCACGCACTTGGGAGAAACACGCGGCCACTGAAATGTTTGAAATCATGAGAACTACATACATACACAAGATTTGTCTCATAAATATCGTTTTCAATTGTTTTCAAACATTTTGGTCGCCACACGAGACACCAACATTCATGGTTCTCTCATCGTCGATAGTTTTTGAAAATGTCAAATTTTGAAATGTAAGCATCGGATTTTTGGTTGAGTATGCTAAATTCATGCCATGAAATTATTAATCATGCTACAAAAACGGTATTTTCATTCTCTATCTAGCTCACCCCTTCTCTGCTTCTCTCAGGGGAGCGTTGTTTCTCTTAAATTTCCCTCTCTCTCTTTCTCGATTTCTAGCTCGCTTCTAAATCATTCACGAATTTGCAATATTCAAAATCGCGAATTACACACAATTGCTCTCTCATGCCATTGACAGATTTGTGAAAATTCAATCGTTCATCATGGCAATCGAACATTTTTCGGATGCATCTCGCGAACGCGAAAACTCATCCACATTCGAAATACAAATATGTACAATGAATTTTTCGCCGCATGCAATTGGCAGGAGTAATAAAGAGTTTGAACAGGAACTCAATGAATTCCATTGGAATCTTTATAGGATTATAGGCATTATAAATGTATTGAAGCCATATTCATACCTTCATGGAATTCACCATGTCAACACGCATTGAAAGCGATTTATTTCGATTTTTTTTATATTTTCTAAACGAGTAGAGAAAGTAAGAAAAAAAAAATCAATGAATTTTATTGAGTACAAAAGAAGGTGTCTATAAAATGCTCGCAAATATTTTCATTTACAAAAGAAGCCGTTTGGCATGAATAACGAGTGGAAAAGTTTAAAAGTTCATGAAATGAACTGTAAATATCAAAAAAATTCTTCGCCCCAGTTTCATGCGAACATTCTAAGCATTACGCTTAAATTGCATCATATGAAATGTTCAAAATGTAAATTACGATTCGTATAAAATGACGATATTTATTGGCAATGGTGTGCACTCAAAGCGCGTAAGTACATCTTCACTTCCATGTATGCATATGAATTTTGCCCGAACCGACGCAGTTAGCGTCGAAGAAAGGAAGAAAGAAAAAAAATGAAAAAAATTGTTTTTCAGAAAATGTAAAATTAAACTGCTGCCAAGTGCATAGCACGTCTTTTCACAGGATATGCACTTTTATCACAAATCGTGTACGATGGTACACAGAAGTAAAGAGCGAAGAAAAAAAAACGCAGTCCAATATCAAAGACGGGAAATCCTCATGATAACCGCTTACCATTTGATTGCAATATATTGTATATATACAAATTTCAAAGCAGCAATGAACAGCAAAATATCAACAAACTGCCAACAAACACAAGCAAAATGGCATGCGTGACCGTTTCAAAGCGGCTTACGCGCACAACACACACACACACACAAACTGGAATACGATAAATTACGATAACCATTTGCATGCATACTAATTTGTTTGCACATATTAATTGCTTATTTAAGTGTAGTGTGCACGATTTACATGCATTCCCATTTGATTCATTGGCCCTTACAGTGTTGTTGATTTGCATACATGCTTTTTAGCTCTCGTCTGAGTGCAAAAGAAAAGCGACAACGTGAAAAAGAACACACATACATACATTCAACAAACTGAAAATTATATAGACAGCGATAAAAGAATTGGAAAAATGCATCAACTTGTTCAATGGTCTGGATTAGTATTTATGATGCAAAACACTTCAGGGAAATTCTACGTACCATTTTAAGGTGTACTGTCGTAAATGACGAAAATACGCGCCATAGTCAGGTTTTGAATTTTCTGCACATTTTATTTATGGTCTTTTATCAGGCGCATATGGTGGGAAACATGACGGGCGCTTTTGTGTTATATGGGCACACACTTTATCTGATGACATGTTTATTAACGCCTTTACCACTCTCAGCCGCATTTCTTAGAGCGCGCCAACATTTCGGTACACATATATTGTTGCCAGCGTATGTGCAATTGGCGCTGACAAACGTTTATAACTGTATACTTAAACATTGCAGTAATTGCAGGGCTTTTCACTTTTCAACTCTTTCGACTCCGTCGAATCGGATTTGATAATTTATGTACAGGGCATTTCACATGATGTTTATTTTAATTGCTTTTACTCGAAAATCCTTGATTGTGCACTTTTATTTTAATACCATTTCGTGCTATTCGCATATGCATCGGTGTTTGCAGTTGGCAAATAGAGCTTTTTCACTTGTTTTTTTTTTTTTACTAAAACATTTTCAACGATGTACATATATGAATTTCCGGTTGTTAACCGTACCATTATACCCAGTCTGGTATGCATTCAAATAGGAAATAACAGAACAAACAATTGTTAAAACTGATGAGTTTTCTGTAACACAAAAACACGCCTCAGTGCTCATTTCTGTGTTCCATTGATTGCATCAATTTATTTTGCAATCATTCGTCAAGACAACCAAAACATAAATTGCAGTTCAACACCGTTTTGAATTTGCTTTGGACGCTATACCAAAATTAATCGATCCACGACACAAAACTTATGTTATACTGATTAACATATGATGTGATAGAATGGAATTTATAGAATTTCCTCTTTTAATTGTGGCTGCACAGCACGGGTTTTCTTTAAACAACACCACTATTTCAATGGCTCAACTTGATGCGTGCATTAAGCACCATACACTCAATCGATCGGACTCTTCATTCCAAAAACTAGGGCCATAGACCACAGCATGTTTAGATTTATATTCTAGCTTATTCGATATATCTTCAATAAACTGCGTTCAATAAAATATTTTCAAGTAAATGCACTTATACGGATGGACAGGACCGAGTGGTTTACTGATAATGGTGGTAATATGTTGGCCTTTGTTGAATTTGGCTCAAGCACACTTGGAAGTAATAGCATCATTGATGGGAACAGGAGGTGTAAGCCCAGATAAACCCCTCCTCTTAAGTCATTCGAACCACCTCGACACTGACCGACACAAGGGTATTAACAATTTTCGTAAAATTGTTTTCTGAATGACATTTTTTCGGAAAAATATTGGTCTTCCGTAAAAAAAATCCTTTCGATGGCTTTCGAAAAAAATTATTTTCAAAAACTCTTTTCGAAAAAGTCATTTGGAAAAAAATCGAAAAATGTTTCCCCTTCAATTTTTCCATCCATTGACGGACCCCCCAACTTACCGACCGCGAACCATAATTCATGGTTAGAGGCAGGCATAACTGTAAATCCGTACCCACATGTTAGTGATAAATAGTGCTCAACATTACCACTGAATTTATCCAAGTGTTGATTAATTGAACAGAAATTGCAAGTAATTGAGAGTGCTTATCGTATGTTTGAACTCCAAAAAGTTAAATTGAAGCCGATCTTACCAAACTTGTTTTGAAATCAAAATCAGCTGCTGAATTACAATGAAAAAGATTGCAAATTGGTTTTTCAATAAGTTTTGTATATATTTCTGGTAAAATCAATTGTACATTGTTTTGTCATTTTCATTTAAATTATTATATATATATATATTTTACTGTGTTTTTCCCCTTAATAATAATACAATAGAATTTTATGCTTATAATGACTGCGAGATAAACTCCAAATACAATTCATCTATTGATATAGTTTTTTTTTTTTGTGTTTTGCACTTACACACCTATGAATCCACTAGATTCATTTAAAAGAAAGAAGAAAAATAATTCACTAAATTGGATCAATTCATGTTTTCTTTCTTTTTATTCTCTTACAATTCTGGAGCTATCTACATGAGGTGAGAAAATGGTATTGCGCAATAAATGTGAAGCGAGAAAGAAAATGAGGAATTTATTTTTATGTGTACTTGAAACTATCTTAAAATCGAAAAATCCTCATTTTAAATATGAGAAAAATGAAAGTAAAATTCCTTTTCTATCAATGTGTTTTTCATGTAAATTTTTATATTGCACTGGAAAATTGAAATCAATCTAAATGTTTTTTTTTTCCTTTTACTCAAATGAACGAACAAAAAATACTATGCACATCCAAAATTTATTTTAATTCATCGACATATACTTTCCGTTATTTGTATAGTATCGATGTCAAAATACTTTGGCGATGAACGGAGCATTTGAATCGATTTTTTCATTGCCATTGATTTGGCCGGGAAGAATAAAAGGTGGCATTTGATAATCGGCATTTGGTGATCGAGGCCCATCGTTTGGCGACGATTGCATGTTGCCACGCATAATACTCGATGATCCGATTAGGTTTGTTGCCTGCCAAATTGATGAATGCTGTGAACTTTCAACGGTGACCGGTGGATTCGTTGTGGCTGATCGGGTGACCCGTTGCCGAAGCGCATGTTGACCCAAATGACTGGCAAACAATCGATTCCGCGACGAACCAGTTTCGGTATGGATCTTTCGGATGTGCTTTTTCAAATCAAAATTACGACAGAATCCTTTGAAGCATACGCTACAGGTGTACGGTTTCTTTTCGTTATGTGTATGCATGTGGAATGTTAAATTGTAAATTTGATGGAAAGCCTTGTTACAAATGTTACATTTATACGCCTTTTCACCGCTGTGCGTTAGCTTATGATTCTTATAGTTGCCCTTTTGGTGGAAACCTATTTTTGAATGAAACATAAAAAAAACACAAATAATTTTAGTTAAAAGGCAATCGAAAGAAGGAAATGGCATTTCTTCAAAAAGAAGAAGAAGAAGAAATGTTTTATTTGGCTCAAAGAAAGGAAATTTTGTCTCACCTTTGCCGCAGTATTCACATTTGTATGGCTTGTAGCCGTTGTGAATTCGAATGTGCGTATTTAGCGTTGATGAACGATTGAATGCTTTTCCGCATGTTTGGCATTTGTGCGGTTTGTCGGAGGTGTGAATAATTCTGTTTGAAGAAAATACATTAAATTAGTAAAAATCGATGGTTTACGTTTTTCTCTCTTTTTTTATATTTCGGAAGACGAAAATCTGTTGTAAAAAAGTAATAAAAACTTACTTATGACGGCATAGAGTTGACGCCTGACGAAAGCCTTTGCCGCAAATTTTGCAGATAAAAGGTCTTGCACCCGTATGAACCGGCATGTGACGCGTTAAATTATAATGGGCATTAAACACTTTGCCGCATTCCGGGCAAGCGAATGTTTTTTGTTTCTGATTGGCGGCATTTGAATTGGCGCTGGCACTTCCCGTTGATGATGGCGAATGATTTTTTGGTGGTGTAATATTGTTGCGTAGCGTTGGTAAATTGTTAGACGATGTCGGTGAAATGGGCGAAGGTGAGAGTTTTTCGTTTAGAATTGATTGTCGCATCGATTGTGATTGAAAATGTGAAATCGATGAGCTTAACGATCTAAGATCGAATGGTGGTTGCGCTGCATTAGCGCTAAGCAACGATGAAACGGCATTTGTGTGTTGTGTGAGGGCAGCATATTGGGCAGCAGCGCACATCAATTGACCCGGATAATAAAGTAATGGATATTGATTAATTAATTCCTGATGTCGGCTGCTCACAAAATGTTGTACTCTATCTTGAATACCGCCAATGGTCGATGGGATCGATGAAGATGCCGTCGATTTTGGTATATATTTTTTGAATGCTGAATCATAAGTGGTGGACGATGACATTGAAATGACTTCAACATCAGATGCTGAACTGGAGTCATCGTCGGCCATTGCATTACGAACTGTTGCACTGGACACTGGGCTGGACGATGATCGTTTTGAATCGGGTTCCATAATTTTTGCTATTGAAAATTTCAACGGCAATGATGTTCGTTGCTGCGATGGCTGTTGTGCCGATGTGTTCGATGGCGAAATTGTCATAATTGATGGCGATGATAGTGGTGAGGATGTTATTGAATGTGTACTATTTGCTGCTGTTTCCATAATTGGACTTTTCGACGTTAGTGGAACGCCTGATGGGCTACGTGGTTGCATACCAGATGAAATCTAAAATTAAACCGAAAAAACAACCAAAAAATTTAATATGCTGCGTTTTGTGTGACAAAAGAAATTTAAATCGAAAAAAAACCGAATAAAGGATGAAACGCAATCGCACCGCGGGACACAAAAATAATTATTGAAAAATTGAATTTAATCAGAAAGAGTGAAAAGAAATTTTGCATTATTTATGCATCGTATTCAATTGGAATTCATCGAAGTGTTATTAATTTGTTGTGATTTTTAAATGGGACATGGCACCACAAGGCGTATGCAAATTGATGTGAATTGACATAAGTTTTTTCAAATCAAAACAAATATTTCGCTTTCACTCTACGCTCAAACAAAAGGAAACAAAAAGCAATCGAGGGATTTTTAATACTCGCATCAATTCTATCACTCGTGAGCTCATTTTTAATAATAATGAAAAGAAAAACCTCAACACATAAAGTGAGACTCTTTTTTTTCGGTCCTGTGTGTAAGTGAAATTACCTCAAAATGTTTTCACACACAATAAAAAACAACAATGATATTGCATGCAAACAATTTTTTACAAGAGGAAAAAAAAATATGATGTAAGAAAACCGCGAAACCATTTAATTCATTCATTCATACGCCAAATGATTTGAATGAAGAAAAAAAACCCTTTTTCACTTTTGTACTTGAATTCTATTGTTCTTATTTTAACTTTTGTAAATCATCATACTTTTGCGATATCGACATTTGTTCTGCTTGTTTGCATTTTACACCCCAATAAATTAAAATCTTTTCACGGTCTTGTTGTGGATCGTTTTTGTTTCGCGCATCGAGTATTTCATTCATGTGTGTGATATTTTGATATAAATATGGTTTTTCAACGTGTTCGCACACAAAGACATTAATAAAAAAAAAACTGAAAATGTTTTGACTAAAAAAATGAAAAATATGGGGGCTTTATTGAAACAGATTGGCAGTGCTCAACGAGCTGGTAAACTGGAATAATTGAAGTCAATAGTGTCGAATACTTGTGTGGGGTGTATTAGTGTCTTTGGAAAATTGATCGGGATTTTTCAAGATCCATGAAGATTGGAATCTCTTCGCAAAATATCTTGTCCGACCAACTAACTATGTGAATTTTCATGAAAATCAGTCAACCTTAGTCGGTATGGTCGACTAATTTGAGGCAAAATTCAGCCAAAATAGGCTAAAGTAAATTAAAATTTCAATCGATTAAATTCAGCTGAAAAACCTCTAAAATTGTTATCTTGATCATTATTATCCCCAGTAGCGTTCTAATATACTGATTTTTATAAACTGCGGATAAACAACTGAGTTTTTTTCCACTCAAAAGGTAAAAATTTGATAATAAAATGTTACAAAAACATTTTGTTTTTAATTTCCTATGACGAACACACACTTCTTTTCAAATTCTTACGAACAAATGTTTACAGCCAGCAATGTGGGGTTTACATGTTTCATTCAATTATGATAATTCAATAAAATTCAATTCATTCGAATATGTTTTGCTGTAGCAATAAAAAAAAAGTTTTGAAAAAATATCGAAACGATGAAGCTCAAATTCAAATTACGTTTTTTTCGCTTAAATTTGCTCAAAAAGAAGATCAATCGAATTGATTACGAAAAATGACTATGATCAATTCGTCCGTTCTTAAAAATAGAATAATAAAAAAATTGACCTACAAAATAGACCATAACTGCGTCAAAGATCACCCGTTTGGTGAAAACTGGAATCGATTACTGCTGCAGTCACTGAATTTAAATCACCAAAAATTTCTCAAAATGCGAAATTTAAATGGCACGAAAAGTGTCTTTCGAAGAAAAAAAAACTTGTTTATTTATATCGTATTTAAAGAAAACTTAGAATTGAATCAACATATGATAAACACGCAAACGAGCAAATGAACTTTAATTTTTTTTTTTTTGGTAAAAAGTTTATTTTTCAATTACTATTTCACTTGAAAATGTGATTGTACATTCGTCGCTGAAACTCAACTATTGTTATCGTTGTTCGTTTATTTTATTTATCGGAGGGTCTAATTTACAAAAAAATATTTATTCGAGCGTTGTTGCACAAAAGCGTTCGTTCTCGTTGAGCATTCCAAATTGAAATGAAAAACCGTAAAAGGCGCATATTATCATCGACTACCGTTTCTGCTTTGCTCTGCTACTTCTCTGCTCAAACTGTGTGCATGTACATGTGTACTTGTCTACGAGCATTTGCCCCGTTCGCCGTTCTTATTGCTGAGAACCGAAAAATAGAGCAAAGGAAAACATATACGACCACTTTGCAGAACCGTACCAAACAATAAACCGAGCACACATTCGACAGTACTATACGCTTTAAGTACATACATATATGCACATCGATCCTGCTTTCGCACTGCCAACAAAAACTTCGAGTGTTTGTATCTCTCTCTCTCTCTTTTCGCTCTTTCTACTTCGCTCACTAACTACATCAACGGCAATGTTACAATGATGAGCTGATGCGCGTATTATGCCCGAGAAGCGCTGCTCTGTTCACAAAACCATCTTTCACATACATAAAAACTCACGTATATAATGTACACAGGCAATAGAGTTGATGTTTATTTCTGTGTGTGTGTGTGTGAACTGCTCGTTCTGTGCCAAAAAACGATATGATGTACAATATGAAAACGAACCACACTTGGAAAATGTTACCGCCCTCTTCTTTCTCTACAACTGACGATTTGATGATTCGTTACATTCGTATGTTGTTGTTAATTTTTTTTATTCGTTTTTTTCCATCGTCGATTTTTCGCGCACTGTCATCGCATCACATGACAATATCAATGGTGCAAAATACAAATCTAAGCAAATAAAATAAAATGTGCCATTTTTTTCTCATTATTTGCACATCTTTTGCCAAATACTCGGTGCTCATTGTGAGAAATTGAGAGACAGCACAAAAAATACAAGTAAAGAAGATGTACCATTTTATTTGAACGGTAAATTTATACTGTTACCCAATCGTTATTGCAAATGATTTCTGGTGTCTTATTTTTTGGACTTTTTTCCTATTGGGAAATTGAAAATGAATTGAATTGGTAATAATCTAAGCAATCGAAATGAATCTAGGACACATCGGTTTTTGGATAATGAATGAAAATACGTTTTTTTCTTCCTTTCTCTCTCTCTCTCTCTCTCTCTCTCTCTCTCTATCGGAATTAAAAAAAATATTTGAATTTTTTTTCCGTCAAAATGTGTTTGTCAACTTGAATGGTATAAACCATACATATGATCTGTTTGTACAACGGCACATCTCTCTTCCGCAAAATAGAACTCGGCCATTCAAAGAAGTTATACACCAAAAAGCGGTAAATAAGTAAGCGATTACAATGATCCATCTAATCCATAAATACCAAAGAAGAAAAATCTCTTATACACAAGTATAATGCTGTAATGCGTGTTATGATCACAAACAATGGCTGAACTTCTTGTTAATTTTAGTCAAAAGTGTGAAAATATTTACTCTCTTATTTGTACAAATAATATTGGTTTTTTTTGTTCAGTTCCGCATTGTTGAAGAACTCATTTACAAAAAAAAAAAAACCGAATAGAAAATTAATGCGTGTGTGCTACTGCATACAGCATAGGTAAATAAGCAAACAACCGTTTTGAATGGATCTTCTGTGAAAACGTACGCTTCACTCGTTCCATGAAATAAATTCACCGGTCAGGGTTCAATTTCTATTTTGGAGCTCAAGACGACGGTGCAGCTTGCAATTGCATCGTAATCATTATTTTTGTTTCTCATTTCAAGGAAAAACGTTCTAAAGAAAACCACAAGCAACACCAAAAATGGCAAAGAAGAAGTAAATATGCGGGTCGTGTAATTTTTAAATTACTTTCAACTGAAAACCACACTCGAATATTGATTCAACAAACAAATCGATCGTTATGAATTTGACAACAGAAAAATTGCACAAAACAGCAACACAATTTTTTTTTCCATCGTCGATGGTCCTTTTTCCCACTGACCCTTGCCACACATAAGCAGCATGAAAAAAAAAACCAGAAGCAAATTAGAGCTAAATTAAGATCGCCTCAATAAACCAATAAATTTTTCCGTTTTAGATCCATATCAAAGTTGTCGACAAATTGAATGGGAAAAAAAGACGATGAATGGACAAAAGGAAAAGAGGTTGGCAAAAGGAAATTGTTAGATATACACAATCAATGTGAATCAGATGTAACATTTAAAACGGTGGGCAGATAATCTCAATTTTAAAATTGTGAGAAACAATGAAAACGAACATAGTTCGTAACAAAGATAAACAAAACTCGTATGTTTTGACATGAACTAGTACGAGAAAGAAAAAACTCTCCGCTGGAATATATGTATGTGTAGTGCTGTGATTGCGAATGATTGAACGAAAAAGGAAAATCTCAATAATATCATAAATCGGCTTGTTTATAGTAACAACGGCAACAAACAGCTTGGTGAAACTCAAAAACAAAGTGGATGAAGAAAAGAAACAGTCGATCTAAATCCTTGCAAAACATCCATAATCCCATATTCATACACGCACCGATGTTTCGATTCTATTTTATCTCTCTTCGTCTCCCTCGCTTCTCTTTCTTTTTCGCATTATTTTGGTCGCAATTTTTCGATGTTTTACAACAAAATAACATCTAATTCAACAAAAAAAAAAAATGTATGAAGTGAAAAAGAGAAATTTTGTTCCAATTTTTTTTCGGTGCTGTGCACATTGATCGCAATGCTCTGGTAAAAAAAATCTAACTGCTGCGATTGAGTGTGTTTGTCGGTGTGTAATCTTTTAAACCTTTGAATAGGAACTCAAGCCTATTGACATATTATGTAGGTAGATGAATGACTGCATGGGAATGGCTTGGCAAATTATCGTGTTATTGAGTTTGCTTTTCGTTTTAACAAAAGAAGAAAAAAAAAAAAGAGAAAAACAACACTGACCAACAACATACTACACCAGTATCGATCGCTTCTTATGGATTGATACAGTTTGGACACGAAAATTAGATAGAGATAGAGATGACATTTCCAAGCATGCATATGTAGTGTTCTTGTAGAGATAAATCTGGTCAATTATAGATAAATAACTCTTCTGCTCTGTTACGGCTAAAGGATAATATGGACAATCTGCTTATGAGAAACATTTTCAATACTCACAAAGCCAAATGACATTGTTCACAAAACAATTGCATCGCATTGTTTCGGGTGTTTGGGCAAAACAATCGCTTCAATTGTTGATCAAAAATGATGCCACATATCAATGCCATCGCCTTAATCGATTCAACCCGTTTTTGTATCGATGCAAACCGGTTCGTCAATGTTATATTTCATATTCTGTCATGTGGCAATGAGATTCGGTCAATGTGGATTGCAATCCACTTCGAAAAGAGTCAGTGTTACATAATTAAATGTAACTAAATGAATGACTCGCAAACCAAGCCGGAAAACTATTGACAACAATCACTGCCTAATATGTAATTCAGGAGTTGGAATTGTAATTCGTTCGTGGAATTGACAATTGTCCCTCTATTCAAGTCACTTAAAGGATTTCGTCCATATATTGAAAAACAAAATTACGTTATATTATCTCGCTGTCATCGGATGGGATTCATTAGGTTCGGTAACAATTTTTTTTTCTTCTTCGTGTTGAAAAGATTCAATGCAATAAGCGACCTCCTGCGCAGGACAATGCGGTTTAAGGCAGTGCTTTGATACAATTGTTTAAATAGTTTTAAGTATTATTGCATATTGAAAACGTATGAATGCAGCCGTTCTCTCTCTCTCTCTCTCTCTCTCTTTCTTTGAATTTGTGTTCCGATTTTTCTTTCTTCTCCGTCGGCAAATTGTGTTCAAAGCAAAAAAAAAAAGAATGAAAAGAATGAAATTGCAATTGCGGGGGTTGAGCTCAGTGTAATTAGTGTAAATGAACGGTAATGTGCAAAATATTTACGAGATTTAGGTTAATTTAGATCAAAATCGGCTTTTTCGATGTGCCTGGAGACATTGAATTGTCGGATTTGGTTCGTTTTGTCAATTGTCTTCGCCTCCTCCCTCTCTATCTTTACGTCAATTGCATTCATATCTCTCTGTGCACATCATACAATGCACATTCCGCCCAAACAATAATCGTTTGTCGCAAATTCCATTTTTTTATGTGGATCACGACATCGATTTATCCTCAGTTTTTTGTCTCTCTATGTCATTTGGTGCGGAAAGCGATTTACTAATACAAAAACCGATTACCGATGCACCAAATCTGATCCTCGACTTTGCATTAGGAAGAAAAGAGCTGGAGTTGAACCCGCATAATGGAAAACCTCTCAATTGATTCAGTTGAATGCATTCGCGCTTCCAATTAAACGTTTTATTCGATTTAAATTACAAAAAAAAAAAACACATGAAATTACATTGACGAATGAATTGCTACGTAGTAGTTTGGTAATCGTTGTATGTGGCAGCCAGTTGACATGTTCATTTTGATTCTGTATCGACAATAGAACAAATTGTATTCGAATATGTCGACACTGAGCTTCATTGAATTTTCGGCTTTTAATTTGAGGTCTGCCAAAGACATTTGCGCGCACACCAAACCGATCAAACAAACAAAACGAGAAAAGATGATGATGAAGAAAAAAACACACGAATTTGAATAGAAACAGTTTCTTTCTTCTTCCATTCAAGAAATATTTCGATATTCAATTGGAAATGTGTTTTATGGCATCAATAGGCGAACACACATTTCAAATTGAAATAAAGGGCAAGTATAAGTAATCTGAAAATCAAACGGTGTGTGACTCACACAGACGGTGAGTTTCTTCATTATGTGACTCGATTTGCCGTTAAATGTCGACGAAATAAAGCGCACTTATAATTAGGATTTCGTTTGATTTTCGGTGGGTCGTGTAATTGTTGTGTGTGTCACATAATTGTAGTGGGCTTAAATCAAAAGAACATTGCCACGAGCCAACATGTCAATGAACGTTGAATTTAAAATCTATATATGATTTAAAATTGCTAAAAATATTTTCATGTAATTTGATCCACAGAGAGACGACTTAATAAAATAGCAATTGACGTCTGTAAAATGTTCTTTCGTACCATCTAGGCAAAAGACAGAAGGCCCGACGAAATGATCAACCACACAAACACAATGCCAAATAAATATATTCGATAAATGGATGCGAA